TGACCTCCACCACACACACACGTGACCTCCTACGCACGTCCTCACCCCGCACGTTGACACTCCACCACGCGTTGACACTCCACACACTTCACCACCACGTTGACCTCCACACACACACATCCCACCACACACGTGACACGCCACCACACACTCACCACGTGACACTCCACCACACGCACGTGACCGCCACCGCACACGCTTCACCACGATTGGCCCACCACACTGCCACCACACCACACGTGACACGCACGTTACATCACCCTCGCGTGACACGCCACACACGTGACACGCCACCACCACGCGCAGCCTCGCACGCCACCGCACGCGTGACACGCCACCACACACACGCATGACACGCCAACAAACGCACGTGACCGCCACCACACACGCACGTGCGTGACACGCCACCACGCACGTTCACCACACACTACCACTCACGCGTGACCGTCACCTCACCTCACCTCTCACATGCACGTGACACTCCACCCGATACGCACCGACACTCCACCACACACGCACGTGACCTCCACGCTGACACTCTCCTCCAACCGCATCCACCACACACGCATGAGACACTCCACCACACGCTGACACTCCTCCACCACAAACGCTGACACTCCACCACACACGCTGACCTCCACCACACGCTGACACTACTCCACCACACACGCTGACACTCCACCACACACGATGACACTCCACCACACACGATGACGAAAGTGACGTCAGGAGACCTACCATCCCTAGTATTCACCACCTTGTAATTTATAACCCCTTACTGAATAATAGTCCTAATGGGCTTTAAGAGTCACTCGACTGAACACGACCAAGTTGGCCATCTGAATGATGGTCAACCAAAGCACATGTGTGTACAGTTCCTACAGAAGATTACGGCGAAGTCGGGGAAAACACGACGGACGCGCAGTATGGCTACACTGTACCTCACTCTGGTCATCTGCCTAAGACTGATAAAAACCGTGTCCCTTATCTCTTGGTGGAGCGACTGTACTACTCCCATGTTACTGTACGTAGATGAAGTTGTTCACAGTGTCTAAATAATGTTAAGTATGCTGTAGTTAAAATGCATTTTATATATTTTCTGAGTACATATAAAATATTTCAACAAACCCTGGGCTCTCAAGGTCTCTTCAATACATAGAGACCAACAGAATAATTATCAAGGCTGCTTTTTGCTTCTGCATCGAAGGTCTATGGGCCCACTCTTTTTTCAATATGATAAATACGAAATATAAAGTTACCAGGATAGTCTAAAACTAAATAAAATCACCTATTACAGCTACTAAGGTCAAACATCATGCTTACGTCCATCACCACACCACACACTAATGTTAACACTATATATAATAACACAGTGTTTAAGCCTTACTTTCTCGTTAAATATTATGAGCTCCTAAATTTACTAATAGGTACTTAACATACAAAAATTATATCATATCTTACGAATTATCAAAATCAGCTGGAAAAACAAAAGAGACCCTATAAAAACTGCACACTCATAGAGGAACGGCGGTGGAGAGTATATGACTGTTACGACCTACAGGGTGGTGGCAAGCGATGTGAGACTAAGAAAGCTGTGACCTTGACGATTTCTTCAATATTAAAAAAAAAAATTAAATAAAAAATACTCACTAGGGATTAAACATGAAGTAAGATGTATTGACGGACATAAGGAGGAAACATTTCACAAACTCCCTACTGTAAAAGGTTAAAATCCCATCAAGAACCAGGTGACTTCGGCCCATCACTCAGAGGGAAAGTCACGTAGCGTCCTTATAAGCTTCGGGTTTATGCGTGATTCGGGTAGTATAGGAGGACTTACACTGTGAGTCCTCCCATACTACCCGAATCAGGATGCTTGCTGGTTGCTGCATCACTGGTACTAGCTAATCTCACGTCCATATCAAGAACCCAACATTATACAATAAATATCCATCCTCCTTATACCCGTACACCTATACCCTTCCCTCCCTTATATAATGTACCTTTATCTTAACTCCTCAAGTCACATCTTTATACATACTAACCAAATCCTTCTACCCTACACACCTTCCCCCTGGCATATATCCTGATTCACATCCACACACATACTTATCCCATCACCACTACATTAACGTCACATTATCCAGTGTCCTCATCCATCCACCTTAATCATATAAGTTAATGTAGATGTTTTCATTTTCCCGTTCAAGAGACCCAGTTTATTACATAGCTCTCTCTCTCTCTCTCTCTCTCTCTCTCTCTCTCTCTCTATGTATATAAATAACTGCGTGTGTTAAGTAGCTCTGGCATCCACAGCAATATCCACACAAATATCCAACCCTTCATCGTATAAACACGCCTTCATAGCTAAATACCACATCATACTACATTATACCACATCATACCACATCATACTTCATCATACCACTTCATACACCATACTGCATCATACCACATCAAAAACATAGTCCCTTAACACACATTATACAACTAAAGTGAACACCACACGAATCACGTGAAGACGGCTAACCTAACCTAACTTGTCCCCCGGCAGTGGCATGTAATACAATAAATTGATCACAACTGCCCCTCCAAAAAAATCCTCAACCATAACTGCCAAAAAATCCTCAACCATAACTGCCAAAAAAATCCTCAACCATAACTGCCAAAAAATCCTCAACCATAACTGCCAAAAAATCCTCAACCATAACTGCCAAAAAAATCCTCAACCATAACTGCCAAAAAAATCCTCGACATGACTGCCAAAAAAATCCTCGACATGACTGGCCAAGAAATCCTCGACATGACTGGCCAAAAATAATCCTCGTAGCATAAGAGACGTGACACGTGGTCATTACCCATTCATATTTATATTCAGTTTTTTAACCATTTGACTTCCCACTTTCGTTTACAGACAGACAATTTTAGATTACAGACAGTGGTGAATGGGAGGGTAAGGAGGGGAATAAAAAATAAAATGAATAAAAAATCAGACAAATTGGATCATTTGACGACTAGAGACTCCAGCTTATTTTACCTGAAGACTAGAAACCTCAGCTTATTTTACCTGAAGACTAGAAACCTCAGCTTATTTTACCTGAAGACTAGAAACCTCAGCTTATTTTACCTGAAGACTAGAAACCCCAGCTTATTTTACCTGAAGACTAGAAACCCCAGCTTATTTTACCTGAAGACTAGAAACCCCAGCTTATTTTACCTGAAGAGTAAACACCAACCATAAGCTAACCCCTTCATGTACAGTATAGCTTTAGTGTTTTGTAATCGTAAGCTGAAATAAGCTGAGGTGCCTAATCTTCATGTTATCCCAGATATAAGACTTAACATAACGAGTATACGCCATCCACAGCAGCTTTAAAATGAACAAGTGCCAAACATAAATACCTTAGCCACCAAAAACATAACCTACCAGAATCCAGTTCTTTCTCTACCCGTTGTTTACGCCGCGTTATTGTATGTAAAGGAAGTCTTGGATCTTGGGGTAGGATGGGGATT